TCTTTTGCTGTAGCAGTGCCTAAACTTTGGAATAGTTTGCCTAAACATATTAGAGGAGAGCTGCTACTCTACAGTATTTTAAAGGACAACTCAAAAAACATCTGTTTTCAATAGCTTTTAATCAGTGACAATTTTATTATATGTGTTGCCTATGTGGCGCTTTATGTTTCTTCTTTTTTCTGTGTGACCTTAAAATCACATTGGTCAACTCGTTTTTTTTTTTTTAATTGTGCGTCGCTATTGCTATTATATATATTTCATTTTTGTCCAAGTTCACATCCTATGCAGACAAAAATCCAGACACCACACCTCCATGTATTCTCTGAACTTACTTTCTCTCTCTCTCATACGCACACCAACACATACAAATGACTTCCTTGGGAAACGTTCCCTCTAAGCTTCAAGATGCTGGTCTTTGATGTTACTCCTGCACAGACAGAAAAAACGGCAAGGGAAACAGACTCAAATATGTGTGGGGAAAAAAGAGACATCTAGAGCTAACTGAATAGGCATCATACACTATACACATAGACTAAATTTGTATGATACATAAATTAAATGTGTTGCTCAAAAACACAAATTAGAGAGAACATTCAACCATGAATGTGTTAAATTAAATGCAATAAATAGCCAGTATCTGCAATTCTCTTTACAGGCAGAAGAACATAGGTGCCCTTGTGCTCTGATCAATATTACAAATATGACCATTATGTGTCTCACAAGTCATAACAACACACGGAAATACCCATACTTGACATTAGATCTACCTACAACCCTCACACATAAGTACTTGTTGAGTTTATGATTGGATACCATCGTAAGGAAACCATCGCCATAGGAATTGTCCACACCATGTGAAAGATAATGACCTTTTAGGCATTGTTGCCATCAGGCAATGTTGATGTTAAAGAAAACAGGCATGACAGACAGATATTTCATTATTGAATTGTTTGTTCCCTCCGTATTGAGAATTTCCTGTACTGCCATCCAGCAACATTGCCTTTGAGATTGAGGTGTATTGTTACAAAATGGCATATTAGCTTAAGAAAGACCCTTCAAAGCTGGATTAAAGCAAAAGTGATTGAACATGGTGAATAAGAGCCTTGTTAAAAAGTGATGCCTTTAATATGTCCCCCAGCTAAATGTTAAAGATTATTTCCTGGGTTAACCAGGCAAGAACAGCAAAACTGGCTCAAGTAACAGGGTGGATTTGCGAAAAATTGAGACTGTCAGTTTTAACAACGTTATAAAATATAGTCTAGACTCAAAACATTGGCTCGAACAAGGATTTCAAGCTCAAGTTGTTGCCAAAAAGGTATTAGCAGGATGTTGCTCATATTTCAACGTCTAGCGATTCATTGTTTTAGGGTATGAAATGTTCTAGTCAACAGCAGTAATGTGCCAGTTATTGATGTTTTCTTGTTTTAAAAGGGAAATGGCTATTAGCCTACACAAATTATTTAAATTACCACAATTTGTCTCGGGGAAGAAGAAGAAGAAAAAAAAAAGTTAATTTGAAATTCCTAGAAGTTGCATGCAAAGCAGCATAAATTACTTCCTTTCAGAATGTAAATAAATTCAGAGGAACAAAAACATGGTTGCTGTTATGCAGGAATGCAATTTAACCATTATCCCATTGAATAAGACATGACTGCAGTAAGGGAATCGGGAGTGTTTTGTTCAACATTAATTACTTTTTTTCCCACTAGGATTTTTTTTCCTCCATTACTTAGTGGCATCACAGGTACGCGTCCCCTTGCAGCCCTCATTAAAATGCTTGTGATGACACAACCTTTTTAACAAACTGTTTAACACTGAAGATGTCTGATTCATGTGACCCATGACGTGATGCATAATTCACTGTCGGTCATTTAGAGGAAGTTTCAGCTGCTGTAAACTAAATATATGACTGTTTATATAATAAATTATATATATATATATATATATATATATATATATATATATATACTTTAAGTAAAATGTTTGCTTGTGTTTTTAATTTAAAAAAATGTAATATTATTATATATCTTGTATTCTGTAAGAACAATTACTGCAAATGTAAGACTCTTAAGATACAAATAAATGCAATGATTTGCTGTAGACTGAAGGGTAAGCCATTTGGATGGGGGTGGGAACTAAATTAGCATAGAGTTTTGTTATTATAGCTGGCAATCAATTTCATAAATTTATGTGTCATACTTCTACCTCAGAAATTTTCTGCACAGATTTTTTGGGGGAAATCTGACTTGTCAGGGTATAGGTGCTATATTGAATTTTACAATTAGAGATAGACTTGCATTCTTTTCCATGGCATGCACTGTATTTGTCACAGTGTTGTTCTCAGTTTAGTTGAACAACAAAGCCTGCATATCTCGGCAGCCACATCACCAAGCGTTGCTGAAATTTTAATTTGAAGGATCCTTCATTTTGAGTCCTTCTTTCGGCCTGTTTTGAAGGACGCATCGGATGCGTCTTTTGTGGCCTTTAATCACCCACAACCCTTTGCACACATTTAAATTCACAAAAATAAACAAATTTTGATAGAAAATGAGTTGGTACTGAGCTTGTCTGAGTTTATTATGAAATGTAATACAACAATAATGTTTTCAGACATGGAAGCATATCTTGTTTGATGTTTTCAGTAAATTAATCATTAACAATAAACTGCCAATAATGTAAGCCAGCGGGAGACTGCAGATGGCTGTCATTCACTGTATTGCAGTTGATATGAAGATTAGTAATACAAAGTATTTTTCCAAAATTAAGTTTTAATAGTATTTTTGTGAAATGAGCAGGGGGGCGGAAAAGTGTGACGTAACCATGCACACTTGTCTCATTGTTGCTTTTAATGCTGAGGAGGACTCTAGCTATAATAATATATAATGTTGTATATATATACTGTATATATATATATATATATATATATATATATATATATATATATACAGTATATATATACAACATTATATATATATATATATATATATATATATATATATATGTTGTGTTGCCATACCCCTTTGACTTTAAGTGTGTGTGTGTGTGTGTGTGTGTGTGTATAACATATATGGGAAATGAAACTATAGACAGATGTCTAGGTTTGAAAACTTGTGATTATAAAGTAATGAAGAACCAATCAAATTGTAGGGAAATTATGTAATGCATCATGTCATTTTACCATACCCCTATTCTATAAAAACTGATGTATTCGTGTTTAATGGTGGGACTCTCAATGAAGATTGTGAGTTCCATCGGCCTTGCTTCTTCTTAGGGGAGTTTCTCTGTGAACTGCTCGAAGACATTTCCGGCCGTAATTAAAGCATTTAGAGGACATTTGCTGAGGGTCTGTCTGTTATTACTGCTGTGCAGCAGGTCAGTTTAGGGAAGCAAATAAGTTCATAAGCAAGAGAACTAGTAAATTAGAATTATAGGATTAGGCTGTAGTCAATTGTAGACTCGCTGGAGTAGGATTAGACGAGTGCAGTAGTCGACTTGAGACTCGCTGAAGTGTAAACTTAGCTAACGTCAATGTATAGGCGCGCTAGAGTACGTATTATTGGTAGGTAGTTAGGTTTAGGAAATAAATCTATGACAATGCAAATGGCTTTGAGTTTCTCTTCAGCCTGATGACTTGATGACATAAGATGGAGTCTTCATATTGACATACTAAAAAATTCTCCCCATCATACCCTTCTAGCAACTGATTGTTATTTGGGATGAAGAACCAACCGCCTTTGGTGTTTGACTGAATGATAAAGATAGAAATAAAAATGTCAACTTCTGAAGAAAAGTCAATACCAATTGCGTCTGCCAAATGCATGCCTGCTAAATCATTTTGAGCTTTCGGCCTGTCTGACCACAACTGACCAGAGGCTCTAGTTAATCTTCACACCGCCTTTTGTCGACATCTCTGTTATTCTGTTTAATCATAATGCAAAAAAAAAAAAAAAGATTAGATTAGATTTACCTTTGAGTCAGATTCTTCTCCGTGGCTAGTCTGGCATGACCTGCTGAGATTGAATATTGAAGTATTTGCGAGTGGGAGAGCCAGTATTTGCCTCGGAGTCATGCACACTTGTGTCTCCAGACATTCAAGGAAGCCAGAAGGATTGTACTATGTGCATCTTGTGTCTGTCTGTGAAATGAAGTGAAAATGTGAGGGTGACACATTTTTCAGTAATCCTCAAAGGACTCCTACACTAGTGGCAGTTTCTGGGTTTGAAGTCAGTAATCTGTTAAATTGAGATAAATGCTTACAAACAACCATAACCAAATAAAGTTTATATCATCACAGCCTCCCAACTATTTGAAATACAGGATTAAGGTCAGAGAAAGTCTTTTTTTAAACATTTCAAGGAATATAAGACTCTTTCTTTCTTCAAAGTGGACTGTTTTCATCCAGTTCCAATATTATGAAGACTTTAATTATCAATCTGTAATGCATTTCTGTTAAAATCAGGCTGATTATTATCCCCACAAATAATACTACTAACATTACCCTCACCAGGGCTACGTTTATTTGATCTAAAATACAGTGACATATTATTAAGATTTTCTATTTTTAAGATTTTATTTTGGCCAAGGTGACAGTCTTCAGTGTCACATGATTCTTCAGAAATCATAATATGATTTGGTGCTCAATCAATGTTGAAAACAGTTGAACTGCTTAATTTGTTTTGTGTAAAAACTGTTTTTTTGTCTTATTTTGACAAAAAAACAAGACAACATTATACATTTATTTACTGTCACTTTTGACCATTTTGATGCATCCTTGCAGAATAAAAGTATTATTTTTTTTCCACACACACAAAAAAAAAAACGTTATAAAAAATATATATATTTTACTGTACCCAAAATTTTGAACAGCAGGGCAACTTTCTTATAAATAGGTAACGATTGTAAACATGTAAGCGTGTTTTTGCTCTGCCCTCTAGTGGTAAATGGCTATTTAAACAAACAACCTCCGACTTATATATAGAAGGAAAACACAAACAAGTCACTTATTATTACAAATTTTATTTATGGTTAAATAGGGTATATAATCCCCTTAAATTTGATATCTGCATATCAAATATCTGTCTGAGAACAAATTAAGAAAGGAAACTCATAACCCATATTTCAAAAAGCTCACTGTGGATTAAATTAACCTAATCAACCTGTCATGCTACATTATTTACATCCTTACTATATATTGCAGTGCGTAACCTTCATCTACCTAAAAAATAGATCTGTGCGCAATCAAAGATCAAGCTCAGGATGCCACTTTCACGTGCGACTCAAAATAGCAAACCTCATTTTGGTCACACCCTGACTTAAATTGACAGGTAACAGGAACCTTTCGAGCATCTCTGAAGTCAGAATAGCTGATTCGATCAATACAACCGTAAGAGAAAACCACACACACTATCAACCTGAGACCTCAGGCACATGAGAAATCAAGGAGACCAACCATCTTCAGACCACAGGAGGATAAATCATGTGTTCAACTGGAACACACTTCTTATGATTTGGCATTGCCCCAGAAAAGCAGCTGAATAAAATATGAGCACTCAAAAGATCCAAGCAAGATTTGCACCTAGAAGTCAAACTCAATAGTTTCCAATGTATAAACTAAGTGAAGGCGAGAACAGGGAACTAAAGATGTGACTCACTTCATGTTCTGCCATGCACCGGAAGAACACCAAGGTAAAGTGGGGACAAGACAAAACACAGCGAGACTAAAGAGCCAGCCCTGTCACTTCTTCCGTTTACAGAGGTAGAGTTCTCCTGTCAAACTTGTTTACACCAATGCGAGAGTTATATTCCGGAGGTATCGATCAAAGAGACTGAAGCTGTAGATTTCAGGGAAATACAATTGCCTTATTCTCAAAGGCGTTGTATTGTATAAGTATTCATTTACAACACGTATTTTGAAAAAATTTTTTTTTTACTTTTTGTCTTTCTAAAGCCGGATGAAACAGCGGAACCCCTAAACGAATGCTAAACAACCTTAGTGTCATTGCAACTGTCATAAATAATAATATTTTTTTTTTAAATTGCATTTGCCGTTTGTGGCACGGTTATCCCAGAGTATGCAGGTCTGTGACTGAATGTAAGCTTTTAGTCTGTCCGTTTATTGGCATCCATGTGCATGTATGCATTTGTAATCGACATGGATGTATTCAAATGTGTGTCTGTGAATCTGAGCAGAGTATGTTGTTGCCTCCTTTTGCCAGGCAATAATCAGGTGTTTGTGTGTGTGTGCATGAGCACTAGTCCACTCCAAGGGCTTTGAGCTGTCTCTCAATCTCCGCATCTGATATCCCATCTGCTTTGGATGTGGCAGCGCTTGGTTGCTTTCGGCCAGCTGAAGGGGCATGAGCCATCTGCAGGGGAAACAAAAAAAAAATCCATTATGGATCAAAAACAATGTGATAGATAGTGCTGCTGCAATCGAAAACTCAATAATTATGACACTTCACTGCGTAGGCCGTAGGGTACAGGAAAACAATATTTATTAATTCTCTGTCTCTCAGTTTCTAAAATAAAATATGTTCATTCTTTCACACAGAAATTATGATCCATTAATAAGTTATGATCCACACTTAAAGTGCCCCTATTATGCTTTTTCGGATTTTACCTCTCATGTAATGAACAGTAGCATCCTTTGCTATGTTTCATGCGTTCTATTACTTGCAATAGAAGGAGCTACCCCACGCACCCCCCAAAAAACACCCCCAAATCCATGATATGGTGCAAAAAATGACTTGTTTTTAATATTTATAAGCAAGACCACATGAGCATGAGTGCAGTTTTCCTGGATATCAGCACATTTGCAAATGTAATATTGATTTTAGTTCAATAAACAAGAAGTTAACATTAGGGGTCAGTTGTTCAAAACATTTCATCTGGATCAAAATGATCTGGATTTGGAAATCACATTTTTTTTCAGGTAATCCGTCTTACTTTTATGCCGGTTTTTCAACGCAACATTGGACTGGATCACCCTGATCCAGATACACAGTTTTCAAGATTACCAAATCCGGATTACTGTGCTCTAAATGGGACAACATATCACAATGTGGGCTACCAGCTATGTAAAGTACAGGTAGAAGAGACAACATGGGGTCACTGTAAGTGTTTCTTATTTTGAGACAAAACACAAATGGGGACAAGATCATTTTTATTTTATTTTTACTTTACTATACTGAATAGCTTAATTGTTAGCCTATGTCTACTTCATCACTGTTACAACGGTTACACAAGTCAAGTGCAAAATATAAATAAAAGTATATACACAACTAAATGATACAAATGTATTATTTGACCAATTTTAAAGTTTTTCTACATTTTCTTCCTAAAATCCACCTTGAAATCCTACCCCCTGTTGGGATCAGGATAATCCTGTTTTTTTGGATCAAAGTTATCCAAATCCCACTGACACGTTTGGACCACACAAACTAAAGGTCTGATCCAGATTAAAACTATGGATTGGATTCCCTGATCTAATCTGATTTCAGATTCCTTATTTCCCTTTTGAACAACCAATTTTCAAGAGTTGATCCAATCCGATAACCAAAATCCAATCAGCTTACCTTTGCTTTGAACAACTGGCCCTAGCAGACTTTTGCTAATGAAAATAGCACATTTAGCAAATATGTGTATTTAGCTAATGAAAATAGCACATTTCAAAATTGTACATCTCTGAGCAACACAATCAGTGCGTCCCAATTCGCATACTATTCATACTAAATAATATTTAAAAATAGAATTAGTACGTCCCAAATTGTAGTATGTTGAAATGAGTGTTCCAAAAGGACCCGGATGGTCTACTATATCCGGTCAGAATCCGAAGTGTAGATCGATGCACACTCTAATGGCTAATATTGCCCACAACCTTTCGTGCGTTGGACGAGGATTCGGTTAGAGCTACAAACACTGAATAGTGAATAGTGTTTAAAAAAACGGACGATGTGCGAGTCCGTCGGTTATGAAGAGTTTTAGATAAAGGGGTTTGAGTGATTAATTATCAGTATTAACTTGACTAAAATGTATTTATTCAATGTTGTCCACATAATATTTCCACTGCAGCAGCATTGTGAAGTTTTGTAAGGATATGTTTAGCCATTAACTTTAAAATGCATCATTTCCTTCACATGTACACATGAGGAGAGTCTGGGCATGAAAAACCCACGACTGGTAGATCGTCGTGCTACAACATTTCTCTCCGAAGCTAAATTAGATTGAATGGAGGACTTTAATTGTGACAAGATGATTGACAGAGCAGTTTACGGTGACAGGACGCACGCGACAGAGCGATTCGTTAAAGATGACAAAGAAGTATGTCCCAAAGCCTGCCTACTCTTTTGCTACACAGTCAAAATATGTACTTTTTCTTGACAAAAAGAGTACTTTTAGGGTGTAGTATAAGTAGGCAAATTGGGATGCAGCAAATTATGTTTTGTCACTGAATGTATCTGGGCCTTTGTATGAATCAGTCTTATAAATGACTGAACGACTCATTCATAAAGGAAGGTGCGTCCCAATTTGCATACTATACCTTTAGGTATTAATTAACTTTTTACATGTAATTAACATAATTAAATAGTTCAAATAATTGTTACTATGGTACTGAATGTGAGACCAAGATCTGTGAAATGTAACTGGCATAGGTACCATCTACTTCCATTTTGTTATCATAATAACACTACTAAGGTATTTTAGAGTAAAAATGTAGTGCAGTCTATGCTCGTATGAAAGGTGTTTATGGGCACTTTTCACATTTCTGGAGTTCGCAGAAGCAGAAGTTGTCATAGATGTCAGACTTCAATAGGGATAATTGGGATATTACAGCAAATATTTTTACTCAAAGATCTGATGCATGTGCTATCAGGTGATATTAGTGCAGAACATAAGATACTTTTTGAAAGAATGGATGCCCTGGACATATGGGTGTGTGTGTGTGTTTTTTCTTGCAAATTTAAGAGGAAACATAGCAAATCTATGCATGTACACAACAGGGTAAAATACTTGTACGCAATTTTTATTATGAAATTAAACCCACTGTTATGTGGTCAAAATTCTCTACTGGGATTTGTAATTAGGGATTTTATAGTTACATGAGCATTAGGGGCTGCCTGATACAAATGAAAAACACAATGCGTGATAAACTAGTTGGATTATTTGCACCTGTTTTAAGATAAATATATCCTGTTCTTTCTAGTTAAAGAAAAAATATATATCAAATTAAACAGCAAACCTTGTACTAAGTGACATTCTGCATAAAGTCGGATTCAGTCAAAATAACGTATTTACGCATTACAATTACGTATAAGTCAAATACAAAAACCTAAAAAAAAAAAAAAAGCTTAATGTATAGGGTTCAATTATTTATATGCTTTATGTAATGTAGAACACCAACAAATTATGGGAGGCTCAGCACTTTGACTCCATTTTCCACATGTAATCTTTTCTCATATTGGTTCTCTTTATATATCGTTACATGTCTTTGAAAAAATTAAAACAGGCCTAAAGCTTAAATAGATCAAACTTAAAAAAAAATGAAGTGCTGCTTTAGTGCTGTTTGGGAAAAGGGGAAGAACTAACCATGCTTGCAGTATTTTCTATAGTTTGCCGTGCTTAGACAGACTGAATAGGTTTGTCATATTTCTTCTCTGAATAGCAACTGGTCTACAGGTTTTATTATAACAACTTCTGACTGAGCGTGGTCATCAAATGTAAAGCCAAAAAAAACTACCACACAACCAAGGTGCTTCCTTATTTTTACCTTGTTTGAATGAAAAAAAAAAAAAAACATTTGTAAATTCAGTTATAGATCTGTATCACAATAATCATTGCTGCTTGGTTGTAGCATATAATACATATATGAATAATCATTAAAGTTTTTTTTTTAAATCCAATACATTATGCAGCCCTAATGGACACAAATGGATTTTAACACTAATGCACAACAGTAATAAGACAGTTTATTGAATCAGTACCTCAACATGATTTAATTGACTGATGCCAGTATAATATTTCAGTTCTTACCTTTCCTGAGATCTCAATTCCAATTTCGTCCAACACCTGACTCACAATGTCGTGAGATTCTTCCTCATCACCAGAATCATCGAAGATCTCATCCAGAGTGTCGTTCACTGTAAACGGACACAAACACAGAAACAAAGTTTAATCAATCCATACTGAAAAAAAATTCTAGAACATTATTTTTCAAAACCCACTCACAAAAAACAACCACAATAACAATAAATAAACAAATGAAAACACATCTTACTCATCTCTTCTGTCATGTCCATTTTTGCTGTTTCTTTCTGGAAGTTCTGCAGGGTCTGCATGGTCTTCTGTGGATCCATCTTTTTGTTGACAGCTTGCATTGTCTTGAAGTTGTTTTGAGAGAGGCAGAGACAAAAACAACTGAGTCACTTTTTGATTCATGTCCATTTTAAAATGTGCACTTTAGCCTACTTATGCAGTTCTGCAAAGGAGGATGGCTGTGTATCAACACTGTGCCAGCTCTGCATTTATAGACCAACATGTAAGCCCAAATGAGTACAAATACTAATAAAACCAAAACAGTTTACCTACATGGTTAATAGAGTTGTTAATATCATGCACAATGTCAATTTGCAGCGCTTGCTGGAAGAAAATTAGCATTTTCAACCCATGAGTTCCCTTGGGAATTTATAATGGGGGTTTTGAATAGTGGTTTTCCATTTGTGTAAAACAAGGTTAATATTACTTTAATATCCTTTCACATTAAAGAGACTTTATTGAATAAAATAGCAACGTTGCTTCCAGTAATGTTTACCACCATCCTTATTTTACTTATAAATCCAAAGCCATAATTCAAAAAACCCATTTGAAATTCCAGGGGGAAGCCATGGCTCTAAAATGCCTATTCTCTTTGGATTTAAGGAATACAAAATAAGCAGCCATATTTACCAAAATGTGAAGTCAGAGTGGATCTGAATTGTCTAAATTGATTGGAGATAAAATTCCTGGGGTTTAGAACAAACTTTTATTAAAGTTATCATGAGGATCTTACTTTGGTGGTTGTGGCCATGGCACCAGCCATCTTCATCTGGGAGTTCATAAGCTTGGTTTGTGTGGACATGGAGGTGACCTTAGAGCTGACAGCATATGTACGTGTTTTCTGTTTCCTCACTTGCACAAGCTGCTTGGCTAAAACTGTACAGGCCTCTCTGTTCCCTGTTTTAGCCATTTTCTTGATTTCCATCTCCTGTGATGAACACAAACAGTAGGAAGCGGTTAGGGATGGATGGCATTATAATTGCATTACAGTTCTCAGTTAAGCTACAATAAGGCTTAGAGATAGCAGCATAATAATTAGATAAAGAAGAAGAATACATGTTTATTTGTATTACACCTTTAATACATAAAATGCATATATTTTGTACATTTGTGTAAGAAGCCACAGGAAGAAAAAAAATAATTCCAGCAAAAAAAAAAAAAAAAATCAAAAAAAAAAAAAAAATAAAAAAAAGACTGTAAAAATGCTAATGTAAAAACAACTTTATTGCATTATTTTAGTGTCATATGTATTACCCTGATGGTGTTTTTTGTGTGTGTATGAACCTGTCTATATATGGGTATTGGCCATGTTTTAAGGCCACAACCACTTTCGATTAACTCAATTCACCGTGGATTTATATTTTACCGCCTGTATTATTATAATGGGTATCGGTAGTACTTTTAAAGGTGAAAAGCAAAAAGAAGAAAGTTCAAGTAGATTGGTTATATCACTTAATGAATTACATGGTTATAAGTTCCAAAATATATTCTGTTCCAGTTCCACTGTAACAGAACTTTGAGCAGTGAATTTCTGGCAAGATATTCAGCTACTGTTTTTTTTAATGTTTACACTAGTTTTAAAATATAGCTATTGATGACTGACAGACAGCCATCCACCTGTTTCCGGGGGGCGCTACTGTAAAAAATAAAGTGGGTGGCATTATTTAGCGAAGAGGCTACGTGTTTTGCAGATAATGTTTTACTATTTAAACTAAGTCACAAACCTTTATGAGAGATGTCGTTACGGAGCTCAGGGACAACATGTGCTGTTCGTGGTTGTAGCTACATATAACCGGACTAAACTAATGCAGTGGCAAATTTTATTATCCAACAATCTTAGACTAAAGATTAGAAGTGAAGGCTACTGTGAAGCAAAATATTCAGAACATGAATGACACACAGTTAACATTTAATAGTACATCTAATATAATATAGGCTATATATATACGTCTCAGGTCTGTGAGTCAAGTAGACATAGACAACGCTGAGTTTAGGTTCATTTATGAGACGAGATGCAGTTCACGCGCCAGCGCCTCCGTGTTTTGATTATTGTCTGCGCTATATTTACTTATTATTTATTAAATCAAGGTAATTTGTTGATGAAACATTGATTAAAATTAAGATACAATTAATTTAATACAAATCGAAATTAACTTTAAATAAAGGCTTGGTGCATTCTGTTTGATGTATCTTTGAAGGATATCTCTGGGATTTGGAAGGGGTTTGTCATGATTCTGCCTTCTCACACTGCAACACAGGTTTGTGGATCTGAGTATCTCGATTTAGGTTTTATATTGCATATCGTTACAGCCCTGCTATTTCACATGAATCTTTTTCATCTATTATTTAGGAACAAACGAGGGTCTCTGTTTAAAAAACACCAGCTCGCAGCTGCAGGTTCCAGAGCACCGTCTTCAAGTTTAGCCATAACCGAACATCCAGCTTAACTACCATAAGTTGATCTTCTTCTAATAAAGAACACATTGTGGAAAAACATGCTGCATTTGTGTTTTCATTGCATTTTCAATTGATAAAAAAATATAAATTAAATTATACATTTTAATATATTAATGATTAATCGATAGTCGAATGAATGAATGAGTGTCACGTTTCGCTTGTTTACTTCGAACAGGAAGACTTTTCTTTTGACACAAGGCCTCATGGGACGTTGGAAACTTGTGGATAATAAAAGATTCCACCAGCAACTTCTTTAAAAGTTCCACCGGCAATTGCACAAACAGAATCATGAGCTGTTAGTCATAATCTATTGACACACTAAGGCCCTCAGTGACTTTAATGACATAACCTCGTGATCACATACACATCAGTGCTGAGAAAGGGGAACTTTTGGCATCATATTCACGTCACATTGATGGGTGGGGATTCTCACCAGTTGTTTTTCCTGTCTTTCCAGTGCTGTCCGGTCTCTTGTAATCTGCCTCTGCGTTCCCCGCAGCTCTTTGTTCTGTTCTTTAATAACATCTGTAGTATGATAGGAGATACAGTTATCGATTCCCATTTAAATTATTAACGCGGAAATTTCTGAGTAAGTTATAACAAATACACATGTAAAGGTACCCTACTACTTTATTAGCAAGTCATTTTAGAACCCTTAACGATAAAGAAGTGGCCCGGTGATTTCATTAACTATTCGTTTCGACCATCTTTAACCCGATACTGTTAAGTATGAGCAGAAGTCAGATCAATAGAATTTTAAAATGTTTTCAGTGGCAGCTCCCACAAACACATTTTAGAATAAAAGACACTTCTGTTTTATATAGCACTATGGACATGCCCCAAAAGCCCCCAAATCAGGTTAAATATATTAAATAAATTAACGCTCAGTGACGAAACCAGCCCATGATTGACGTGAGAGTGTTGCTGGGCGGCTTTCACAAACAAACAAGCCCTTAGAGCAGCAGCAAAAAACTTACCATCTACGGTCTTTTTCTTGAATAACGATGCCATAATTGCGGCAAACTCCGTCGGCCACGAAACTAATAGAAAAGTAAGTGTTTTACAATGACTAATATCAACTGAGAGTCACCTATCAAAATACCATGACTATTTCCTGGTTCTTGGCAAGTAGGCGGAAAACTTGAGCTCCTCTGCAGAGATTATTTAATTTTGATTGGTGGACAATGCCGTGACGTTACCTTCAAGTTATCCAATCGTAACATCATCTTGGAAAGCACCGCCCACAGTTCTTGTGCTGCAAAATACAGAGGTCTCCTTTGTTGGTCTCATAAAAAAATACTGGTTGAAATGTTGTTCCTTTTCCTTTTGAAACCAGGGGCTTTCAGACTGCGGTCCACAAGGGAGTGCCGGTGGTCCGTGGAAATGTGTAGAAGAAAACAGTGTAAAAAAAAAAGAAATAAAAAAAATGAAATATAAAAGTTTGATTCAAATAAATCAGTACATTGACTTTTTAGAATTATTTGAATATGAATTAAAATAGTTGTTATGTATGCTTTAATTAATCATAAAAATAAAAATTATATTGAAATAAATAATTTTAAAATAAAAAATGATTGACACACGTAAACAAGAAAATAGATTTAATAAATAATAAAAATGTTATTATTATTATTATTATTATTATAAATAACGAGTAAGTAGGAAAATTCACTATAATATTGTGGCTTGATAGACACAGAATATTTTCCAAATAATATTTGACAAATATTCATGTGAATAATATTACAACTTTTCTCAGAAAAGTTGGGACATTTTGTAAAATGCAATAAAAATAAAGAATCTGTGATGTGTTCATTCTATTTAACATTGTATTAGCTGACAAAGATACAAATAAATGTTTTCTTTTCACTCACCAACATAATTCTATTTTGTAAATATGCACAGATTTTGATTTTGATGGCTGCAACACACCCCAAAAGATTATCCATCTGTTTTGCAACAGTCCACAATGAGCAGCTGAATTGGTAACAGTTTGGGGTATCATGTTTGGGTGTAAAAGTGCAGTGTTTTTAAGCAAAGATGAGGTCATCATGGTTCATCACAAATTTCTTGAAAGAATTTTCAAACCATTAAAATTTCACATTTCTCAATGCAAGATTGCAAAGCATTTATGCCTTTCATCATCTTCCATTCATAATATTTTCATAAGATTCAGGAAATCCAGAGAAATCTCAGTCTGTGTTGGGTAAAGCAGTAGACCTCTGTTGAATATGCATGACCTTTGAGCCCTCAGATGGCATTGCACAAGATTCCGTCATGCTACTCTGACAAATACAGCCACATGTGCATGCTCAACAGTATTGGAAAACCATTTTCACTGAAGTCTGACGCTGTATCAAGAAATGCCACTTGAATCTCTGTTACGCAGGGTGAAAGCTTTACATTAGTTCTATGATGCCAGTGAGTTCTCTCTGGGCCTGGGCTCATCTCAGATGGTCTAGAAGGAAGTGGAAATGCCTGCTGTAGTCAGATGAATCCATGTTTCAGCTTGTTTTTGGGAGAAAATAGAAACAAGTTCTCAGTCCCAAATACAGACAATGCCAGGCCTCATTCTGCACGTGCTACAACTGAGTGTTTCTATAGACACTCTACACACAGAAGGGATGTGCTTGCCTGTTTACTGCAGTCCAGATCTATCTCTTATGGAAAATGTACCATGAAAAGGAGAATCAGGCAATAATGACCACAGACTGTTGAGAGACTGTCTTGTATCAGACAAGATTGTGCAAATATTCCACTTGCAAAATTCCAACAATTAGTATCCTCCCAAATGATGTGACACAGTGGTAAACATGTATCTGTCCCTTTTGGGGTGTGTTGCAGCCATCAAAATCAAAATGTTTTCATATTTACAAAATACATGTTGGTCAGTGAAAACATTGGAAAACTTTTCTTTGTACTTTTGTCAGTTAAAAAAGGTTTAAAAATAATGAACACATTTTATTGCATTTACAAAATGTCCCAACTTTTTCTGATTTGGGGTTAGGCTATTCTACGTTAAAAAAGTTAGTAAAATAAATTGTTCTAGTACTTTTGAGCACATTTTTTTTCATATTTATCAAGACTAAGGGCAGCCAATCATAGCGCAAGGATTTGACGCATGCGCAGCCAATCATAGCGCAAGGATTTGACGCATGCGCAGCCACTCATAGTGGCGCGCAAGGATTTGACCGATTTGACGCATGCTCGTATCAGGGCTCGTGTGAATCCGACTCTGGTCGGTAGCTGTTCGTATATCTTCGTACGCCGTTCGTTATGTTCCGCCTACACCTCGGATCTTGTCGATAGTGAATTAGGGCTGTATTTCGTCCCCCTCGATCTCTGTGTTGTTGTCCTCGGTGACGCGACGGAGGTGTAGCCTGACGCGGTCTCTTACGTGTCGGACTAAATAAAAGTGGAGCTCCGGAGGCCTGGGAGTGACGAGGCGAGTCTGTGTCGGGTAAGAAGAGACGCATTCGTGGGGGAAAGAGATAATGCACTTGCTGTTTTAGTGGACATGTCGCAATGCTCGATCCGTGTGTAACAAAGAGATCATGGCGGCGGTGGGCATGTTTCTCAATAGCTCAGACTTGCTTGCAGACAATGAGTCAGTCAGGCAGTCGAAGGAGGAAAAGCGCGGTGATTCTACGAAGTATGTGTGTTTAAGGAAAGGATAAGTTAAGGGATGGATAATGTTATATGAATATGATCGCTCGACCATGGCACATTTTAATGGAAATACAGCACAAGATTTTTTTTTTTTTGACTCCAGCATTGGTTTTTTTAGAGTAACGTTAACGTTAGTCGAAGCGTTTCGTGTTCATTGAAAGATCTTTACTGCATTCTCGCCCATGTAAAGGTCTTTCTGTACCACAAAAACAATTATCTTATGTAATAAATTGTGGATTGAATTGGTAAATAAAATGAGAGAAAATGTATTCATCTTGAGTATTATTTCCTTCAAAGTACACCATAAACAGACTGATTTTGTGTTGCATACTTGCTTCATTCAACCTGGGACACTATTACAAGTCGAAACACGCCTTAAAATGCCATCACTTAAATGTATTGTATTAAATATCCATAAATACGCTCACGTAAAAAAAAAACCATTTCGCTTCCACATTTCTTTTCTTTATTTTGCTTTAATCATAAAATTCTTAAAAACCAAAGCGCAAATATGACTGACAGCTGTATACGGAAGTAAAAAAAAGGCGGCAAATGGAGTCAGCTTGGTTTGTTCAGCACGATGATTAAACACTCATTTTCAACATTGCTCATTACACAACAGTCATGGAATCCTTCAAAGTGTGTTTCTTTAAATTTTATGATGCATGATCTCATTCATGTGCTAAAGCTTGGTTGCTACATTTGTTTCTATGTATATTATAATCTATTTTTCACGTTATGTAATGTCATATAGTATTTTTGTCATCTGAAATTAAATTTTGTATTATATACATGCAAACATTTCATCCTTTTAGAATGTCAAAAAACATAATTATATTAAATATATTGCATAGTGTTAAATATTATGCATTATTAATTTATTAAATTTATTTTAATGTATTTAATATACATTACATTTAATACTTATAAATATATCTATTTTACAAGACAACACATCAGGCTACACAAATTAATACTCAAAATGAAACCGACAAACCCAGTCTGTGGGCAGATTTTGCGGTCAAACCCTTTCAGATTTCACATTTACATCGATAAACACCCCCTTTTCATGGTATTTTGATTACCTTCCCTGTAATTTCATAGTAAATTGTAATCTGTAGTATCCTGTATATTTATCAAAATAAAATATTTTGAATTGCATCTCCAGGCTATCTAAATGACCATGGAGACAGGAGCAGATGTCCAGCAGGGCGGCGACACTGCAATCTCAGAGACAGACAGTCAGCAGCTGGCCACTTTGGCGCAGGTGAGTTTCTAGTATTGCATGGTTTCGAAGCTCTTGGAAACAAATTTGCTAACATGGCAAGGCTGATTATATTTGAACAGTTAAGTAATTATGTAGACAGGCACGTGCACATAGAAATCAAAAGGGGCTTGAGCACCTGCTCTTTTTATTCCTGGAGAGGAAGTGCCCTTTTTCTGGGGGTAATAAAATGAATATATATATATATATATACACACCTGTTTGCGCACAGCTTCCCTGTCTAACAAATATATCTAATAGTGTATCTAAATGTCAGGAGTTCTGTAGCACCGATCAGAGTAAACGCATCTGCTCTAGTGAACTTGCGCTGCGCTGCCGTTTGGACTTTGAGCCGACCGGATAAACAATCCATCTGTGATTCAAATGAGTTTCGTTCTGCTTTTGGCACATAAACATAATCAAATTCGATATTAATATCGAGCATTGTCAATTTTGACTCGAAATTGAAATCGTTTTATCGAGAAAAATTATATTGCGATAATGAATGAATAAGCATACCAATTTAAGACGTGGCTAAATGTAATTATGACCTTGTATGGAAAATCCAGACGTTATGACTTTTTATGGCCTAAACTTCTTATTATTAAAGTTACTGACTTACATCAAGACTCTTTCCCCCTGAAATTTAGAAATCTAAATTGGTGGATTTAGAAGAAATCTACAGATCCAAACAGATGGAGGATAGTAGGTTTAAAACAAACTCCATCTAGATGTGGATTTTGAAGTTTTTATTTGATGATGATGATGATGATGATACAGTCCTCCCTCAAATGTGAAATTAAATCGATATCACCATCAGGTGTATCAAATATATACTTGATTGAAACTGGTAGCATAGAAAACATGCACATTTTGCCATGGATTCCTATGCTGTTCTAAACCTATGAATGCTAAGGAGACCATGGTTTCTGAGTGAACTGATTATTTTGTAGACATCTTTTGAAAATGAAACAATTATGTGAGTTTGAGGAAGATAAAATTTACCTTATACATTAAAAATAAATAAATAAATAAATAAATAAAAAAGTAAATATGTGAAGTGTCCTTTTGAGCCCCTGCCCCTCAAAATGTCTTTGCTTGTAAATGTGGATTGATATTTTAATTCAATTCAGTTCTAGCTTAGTTTAGTCTCTGTGTCTTACCCTGTTGTACCTCCCTGACGCAGGTTTCCATGGCTGCAGCACAGGCATCAGCTACTGGACCCACAGTGACCTTAGTTCAGCTGCCCAATGGGCAAACAGTGCAAGTTCACGGAGTCATCCAGGCAGCCCAGCCCTCCGTCATACAATCCCCACAGGTGCAAACTGTACAAGTAAGGCTGACAAGAAGGTTCATTTAAGAGAAAACTGCACAAAAATCTCATTACATGATTATGTGTGAGCCAGAGGTCGCAAACATTTTCCGTCATTGAATCTTTTTTTTACCAGTGACGGAAAAATCTGAAGGTCGTCCATCATTTTGGCAGATTACAATTTATCTGTAAATGTGTTCAGTTGGTGGAGAGTGTGCTATAGTGTGAGAGCAGTGTGCAGGCAGTGCTGCCAGATTGGCCGGATTTAAATTCGATTGTGCGGGTAAAAATTGGTTTGGCAGGTGGACAAATTTTGTCCGGGTTTGGCGGTTTTCAAACATTTAAATTGTATCGGCTAGTTTGTTAACAAACAAAACCCAAATGTGCATGCCCTCTATCCAACGTTACTAAACTCACACCCACAAAGCAGAGTCAGCGGATTGAGCAGGATTAAATCAACGATTAATCGCTTTTGACTGTGCAAAGTTCTGTGCTACTATGTGTAATTCAAGAAAGATGTTCAAGTCTTTTGAAGTTAAAGCGCAACACAAAGGTAACCACATTGTCGTTCATTTTTTTTAACAGCCTTTTCTTCTTTTATGGTGTGTGTGAGGGTTAAAATCTGTTAATCTGTAAACTGCCGTTTACTAATAGGTTTTTTGATATACTTTTAATAGTTTCTACCTTTTTGGGTAGAAACATTTGTCATATTTGCTCATTTTCTTTTACTATATTTACCATGTTTTGATCCATTTTTCTGTTGTATTGTTGTTCTCCTGGCAGAGAAATGTATGAATTTTTATCATTTAATTAAATGGTCCTTTTGTAGAATTCTTCTAACACATTCTTTTGGCAGTAAATGTATTTGGAGAGCTTTTGGGCTGGAAATTGTCAATCCAATCTGGCAACTCAGAGCATGGGTTCAGCCTACAGGACCAAATTAAAATTGCCACGAGAAGTATTCTGTCCGAGGCAAATACGCAAAATCTAATGACAATTCTACATTGGTTTGTCTTGATGCGTTTAATTGCGCACTGACGAGCATCCAGTTTTACCCTTCCTGTCATGTGTGAAAGAAAAATAGGAAAAGGGTTAAGTTGATGTGGACCTGGAGGAAGGTTTGAGTTAAGGCAGATCAGAGTGTTGATTGAGTTTAGTTCAGGTCATTTTTTGTATTTTTAATATAGCGTGTTGTTCCTATTGGCCATTTCAGGCACCAAAGCTTATTGTCACTGCAGGGAATAAAAAATCTGCCTCGCACAGTCTCTGTTCATCCGTTCTCTTCCTAAATACATACAGGACGAGCAAAAGGGCAAGATTATGCATTTAAAATTATGATTTAAAAATGTAAATGAAAACAAAAGCTATTAAAAGTCTTATTTTCAATAAAATAAGAAAATTAAAATGAATGATAATAATCACATAAATTTTTACATAAATTTACGACTCTGACCGTCAAAATGGACAATTGAGAAAGTCTAACGTGACCTCTGGTGTGTCCTTGTAGATTCAGTATTGTATGCATGTAGCACATAGGATTAAACAACCTTAATTCAATATGTATGCTCTGTTGTTAATCTAGAAGGCTTGATAGTTTAGAAATAATAACCTTTGTAGGGGATGAAGGGTCTTCAGTATTTATGAGTTCCTGTTTTGTCTCGTTTTAGATTTCTACCATTGCTGAGAGTGATGATTCTCAGGAGTCAGTGGACAGTGTGACAGATTGCCAGAAAAGGAGAGAGATCCTGTCTAGACGGCCATCATACAGGTACTTGAATGTATTTGTAGTTTCATCTCAAAGGTGATTCATGACAATCCTTCCCCTCCCTCTTGCTGTGACTTCTCTTCTTTTATGCAGTTGTGTTCACTGGTGCGAGGACTAGATAAGCTGTCACTCAAAGCAATAGACAACTACAACAAACCGATCAGTTCAAAATCAAGAATAGACTATCACAAATTCTATTCCATACTCACCTTAAAGTCTCCATGAAATTAGAATTGACCCTATTTACTTTGTTAGCTCACATTACTAGTCTTGTGGTGAACAATTAATCCGTGCAAGTTAATACACAGAAAAAATTGGTTTGTCATGGTTATCTTTAATCAAAATCTGAACATTCACTTCCGCTCTGGAACGGCATTTCTTCTCTGATGACGTCAGTTTGAGGGCTTGAGTAGAATATCATTAACCATTCCCCTTCAACCGTCAGTCTGCTATGAGCGAGGGATAGAGAGGAGGTGTGCTAACATAAAACCGTAGTCTACTCTATTATGAGACGAGATAATATTTTAACTATTTTTAATTAGGGCTGGGCGATATGGCCCCAAAAAATTATCACGATAATTTTTTTTATATCAGTCGATCTCGATAATTATCACGATATATTTCAAATATTTATTTTTTTAAGTTTAAAGGCAGATTTTTGCAACTAAGTGAAAGTTGTATAAACCAGAGTGTTAATTGTGTTTTAAACTACTCTTTAAATTTATGTTCATTAACAAAAACAGTAACATCTGTTTTTTTGTTTTGTTTTTTTCCTATGTAACATCCACATTTTTATTTGGTAAAAAAGTAATATTCTGACTGTTTGAGTTGTATTCAAATTAACCATTGGTCATCCAGTATCATTCATTTAGATCATGATAACCACAGATAAAACCAGCTATAGCCTATAACTTAGCTCCTCACTATCATGGCATAACTTTATGCTTTCTGTATTTTTTGTATGAAAAACAATAGCCTAACAGTTAAATACATTATTAAATACCGTACTTATATTCCATTAGTCATAATACATTGTCTACATTAATAATATTATACAATTCAATATGTATATCCCACATTTCATGGTGCAGATTACCAGGCTAACCTTACAGTAAATCCATGGTAGGCTAAATGGATTCAGTATCTATTCAGATTCTCACTGTATCGTTTCTCCTTTTTGTCAGCGGTGTTTCATCTGCCTTTAAACTGGTTTAAACTTGACATTTGTTTTCTTCGCTGAACTCAAGTGCTTTTCACTGTATCTCGTGAGCAAAATGATCAGAGGCGCGTCTTCGTGCTATATCTCATGTTTAACCACTACAGAGACGTCCGAGTCAGCAGCAAACATCAGAATGGTTAGCCGAGAAAAGGCTGTTCCAGGCGGGGTGCATGAGTGCCGAGCGCTAGGTGATTGCTTGGAATGGATCTAAGTCAAATTACCATAAATCTATAATTAAACCACATATTTGAGCTTTAAAAGACTACATTCTCGCTCAAAAAACTCTTAAAACTACGTTTCGTGACACAATAACAGTAGTATTATATTTCAACTATATTAAAAAATGGGGCTTCTAATGCCCTTGTAGAATGCGCAAGTGACAATACTCTGTCAACCAATCCACGTTCTGCAGTCTAGCTCCACCTTTTAGTACCGTACCACTGTGCTAGGTACCCCAATGGAAGAGTACCCAAAAAGTGGTACAGTACGTTTGGCTTTTTGGTACCATTCACAACTTTTGACAGTGGAAACGCAAATAATTGCGTACCTTACCGAACTGGCATTTCCATACCACTCGGTGGAAACGAGCCATAATTGAATATAAAATTCAACTCGCCAAAGTGGCTAGTTTATTCGCAATTCATTGTTCATAAGCATTATTTGATATTTTGAAATGCAGAAAGATCCTGAACGACCTTTCATCCGATGCTCCAGCGGTCCCACGGATAGAAGAAGAGAAATCAGAGGAGGATTCCACTCCAGCCATAACAACCGTTACCATGCCAACGCCCATCTACCAGACAAGTAGTGGGCAGTACAGTAAGTTGTTTGCTTCTCTAGTACAAATACACTACTACTATAATTTTCCAGCTTTTAAAATAGTAACTTGACTATTTTTAAGTCTGCTAAATACAAATTAAAATTCAAAGGTTGTCAATATTTCAGATAACTTCATGAATATACTGGTTGAATTTAAATCAACTTAATGCCATTTGTTTTCTCCCAGTTGCTATTACTCAGGGTGGAGCGATCCAGTTAGCCAACAACGGAACAGATGGAGTTCAAGGGCTACAAACCCTGACCATGACAAATGCAGCAGGTGCTCAGCAGGGCACCACCATCCTGCAGTATGCACAGACCAGCGACGGGCAGCAGATACTGGTGCCCAGCAATCAAGTGGTCGTGCAAGGTGAGATTTCTCAAAAATAGAAGACATTTCCGTTTTAAGCAAGTACCTACAACCTTGAATAAAGAAAGGCAACAGATAGAGAGAAAGAGTAAGTGTGCTGGTTTAGTTTCTCAGGCTGTAGACTTAATCTTTACCCAGGACACCAGCCACATTTGGCATCTAAACATCTCCTTGTCAAACCATAAACCTGTGCTGCTTGTGTTTTTCAGCGGCCTCAGGAGACGTTCAGGCATATCAGATCCGCACCGCATCTAGCACCATTGCTCCAGGTGTGGTCATGGCCTCGTCTCCTGCAATCCCCAGCCAGGGAGGAACCGAGGAGGTCACACGCAAGCGGGAGGTTCGGCTTATGAAGAACAGGTACGATTAAAACTTATCTGCACAAGTAATTGCCCATGCTCTATCCACAAGTTTCCTACGCCCCATGAAGCCTTGCGTCAAAAGTGGGCGCGACTTCCGTTGGAAGTAAACAGCGCGATTTGACATGCTTGGCACTCGTTCATTCAACAGTTGACATTCAAGTTATAGCGATCCAAACTAGCTAACGATGTGGGAACACAACCTCAACGAAATTCAAAAGGGTGAAATAACAGTACCTTTACCCTCCGCAACATTATTAATAATCAATACTCATCAAGGCATGGTGACAGACAGTTGTGCGAGCTGACAAACAATGAAAATAAAAAATACACACTTAGTCATTGTGCTTTGGAGTTTATTCAAAATTATAAATGAATGTGCTACTTGAATACATTAACTGGCACATTTGGTATTCTGTCAACACAGGCTTTGATCCTGAGTTTAGCTGTAACATCAGTAGCGAACAGCCAAACACATGCTGATAGAGTTTATAGAACATTAAGAATTTAAACAAATGTACACAGGAAAATTCGTCGTCTTTTGGGAGGTGATGGAAACTACAGTCGTTGGCAGGATCAGAGACGGGCTCTGGCAGGATCACTCTGATTTCGTTTTCAGCTTATGTTCAAAACAATTCCGTTTAAGCCACTAAATTAGTTTAGTCCAGCTATACATACAATCGCGAACAGCACATGTTGTCCCTGAGCTCCGTAACGAGATCTCTCATAAAGATTTGCGTCTTTAAATAGTAAAATAATTCTCCGAAAAACAGCTAGCCTCTTCGCTAACTAACACACAAAATACCATTGGAATGCTACTTCCGCCGCGTCACCGGAAGTTTCACCCACTTTATTTTTTACAGGAGCGCCCCTCGGAAACTTGTGGATATATGCCTATTCCCCGCTTAAGCCACGCATAAAGCTTTTTAACGTGTTAAACTGAAAAGAAATAATTGCATACTTTAACACATTAAGTTAGTATTGTAGTAATGACCCGCAATGTTAGTATGTATTTTGTTCCAATTAAATTGTTTATTATTGTTATTATTTTACTTTACAATAATGTTATTGTAGTAGCAGGGATTAAAGTTTTCCATCGCTACGTCGGATTTCCATTAATTGCAGCGAGTCAACAACGGATTTTGTTCCAACAACGAAAGTTGTGAACCTCGCTTTACAGGCATATAAGCAGCGAGCACACACTGGCATGAAGCTAGGGAGTGTTTTCACTTCATTCATGGAACTTTAGCTTGTGTGAGCCAAACTCAACTTCCATTAGGAATGAACTGAAAACACAGTTTGTGGCATAGAACAAGCCAGTGTTTGTCATGGACCGGTGTGCACGTGCCGTCAACCACATGGCGATGGCAAGCCTAGATGTTGACGTTGACTCAATCAAATTGGAGTTGTGGCGGCATTTTGACCTTCTGTAGACTAATAATAATTACCACCGTGAAAAGCACCAGTCACCTCCGTTTTCATGTAAAAGGCATTAATACGTCAAGTGCGAGAGCCACAGAGATCACAAGGTGCATCAGTGCATTCGTAGCAACTAGTTTTGTATTTGTTTTACTATCTCTTTCTCTAAATGTGTACATGGATTTAAAAATAATAATAATTTATTTATGATTATGGCATATTTTTCTAAATGTTTTTTTTTTTACTCTAGCTAGCTAATGAGACAAATTATAACAAAATCCTAATCTTAATGTAGTTTTCTTTATTTGTGAAATATAATTTAAAATTAAAAAATAAATGTGCAGCCTTTTTTTTCTAAAATATAATGAAAGGGACACTTTTTTGTTTATAGCTTCTTAAATCTTACTTGTTAAAAAAAATTGTGAGAAAATCGTATCGTGAAACCAGTTTTGTGAATCGTATCGCATAGTGGGTTGATTGAATCGTTACATCCCTAAGTGTAATAAATGGCTTAATTTTAGTTTGAATAGGTCTTAAATTAAGGAAAGACTAGGTGTATTCACCCTGCAGAGGGGGATGTGATAAAAGCCTGGAGCGAAAGCACGTTCCTCTCTCATAAGAGAGTAGGGTTGTTTTTTTTCCTTTTTTTTCTTTTTTTCTTTTGTTTTTTTAAAAGTAGATTTTTCAAGCTTTCTATAGATATATTTGTCATGCTTGTGAGGTAGCCTTTACGCTGAGTTTTGGTTCATTTATGAGATGCAAGTGATCGCGCCACTGCCTCTATGTCCTAATTTTATTTTCTGCTATATTTACTTCTAATATATTAAGTCTAGGCAATTGGTTAATGAAACACCAATTACAATTAAGATCTAATTTATACAAAACGAAATTCACTTTAAAGAGAGGCTATATACAAAACAAAACTTAATGAAGTGGTCAAAATCATGTCTGACCCAATCCATATGTTTCCTGATATATTGCGCATCTAATGATCCTATCTTGGTCATCTAATGTTCCTATCTTGCTCATGCTGTTGACTTTTCATATAATTAACATAGATGGAAAAAACAAAACATTATATTACACTCGCCTATAGGATTATTAAGGACACCCATTCAATTTCTCATTAATGCAATTATCTAATCATCCAATCACATGGCAGTTGCTTCAATGCATTTAGGGGTGTGGTCCTGGTCAAGACAATCTCCTGAACTGAATGTCAGAATGGGAAAGAAAGGTGATTAAGCAATTTTGAGCGTGGCATGGTTGTTGAACGTGCCAGACGGGCCGGTCTGAGTATTTCACAATCTGCTCAGTTACTGGGATTTTCACACAACCATTTCTAGGGTTTACAAAGAATGGTGTGAAAAGGGAAAAACATCCAGTATGCGGCAGTCCTGTGGGCGAAAATGCCTTGTTGATGCTAGAGGTCAGAGGAGAATGGGGCGACAGATTCAAGCTGATAGAAGAGCAACTTTGACTGAAATAACCACTCGTTACAACCAAGGTATGCAGCAAAGCATTTGTGAAGCCACAACACGCACAACCTTGAGGCAGATGGGCTACAACAGCAGACGACCCCACCGGGTAGCACTCATCACCACTATAAATAGGAAATAGAGGCTACAATTTGTTAGCCTCGTCTCAATTCTCGTTGAGACTTGGGTCTGGGAACCACATGCACAATTTCTCGTATTTGAGGCGAGGTTTACGAATGCCTGGCGCCGCTTATTGGGTGCTAAGAATGTCTATCAAATGCGCCTGTACGTAGCTCATAGCCAATCGTTTCAATTAGAAAAACACAAGTATTATTAAGTACAGTTTAACATAGAAGTTGAAGTTGTTATTTGCATTGGAAATTGTTTGCGCTTGTACTTCACAAGTTAAAAAAAATACAATTTTAATTTAATGACTAAAGTCAACAACTTAAATCGGGTACGTGTGCACAGCTGAAAGTTATGCTACTAAAGTGGTAGCTGTATATTGATATTGAAAAGCAAGAAAACTTAGTGGCACTGTGACAACCTCAGTAGGTAGTCTACAGGCATAATGACAATATGATATTAATAAATATCACTTACCATTTATAAGTTATAAGTTATTTTCCTCAGCCGGAAAAGGGTGGCTTGCCCACTTCAGGTTGGTAGAGAGGTCCTTCCTCAAGTGGAGGAGTTTAAGTATCTTGGGGTTTTGTTCACGAGTGAGGGAAGGATGGAACGGGAGATTGACAGACAGATCGGTGCAGCTTCTGCTGTAATGCGGTCGATGTACCGGTCTGTTGTGGTAAAGAAGGAGCTGAGCCGTAAGGCAAAGCTCTCGATTTACCGGTCAATCTACGTTCCTACTCTCACCTATGGTCATGAGCTTTGGGTCATGACCGAAAGGACAAGATCCCGGATACAGGCGGCCGAAATGAGCTTTCTCCGCAGAGTGGCTGGGCGATCCCTTAGAGATAGGGTGAGAAGCTCGGTCACTCGGGAGGAGCTCAGAGTAGAGCCGCTGCTCCTCCACATCGAGAGGGGTCAGCTGAGGTGGCTCAGGCATCTGTTCCGGATGCCTCCTGGACGCCTTCCTGGGGAGGTGTTCCGGGCACGTCCCACTGGGTGGAGGCCCCGGGGAAGACCTAGGACACGCTGGAGAGACTATGTCTCCCGGCTGGCCTGGGAATGCCTCGGCATCCCCCCAGAAGAGCTGGAGGAAGTGTCTAGGGAGAGGGAAGTCTGGGCGTCTCTGCTTAGACTGCTGCCCCCGCGACCCGGCCCCGGATGAGCGTAAGAAGATGGATGGATGGATTTATAAGTTAAAGGACTTCGTCGACGACAATGCCTAGCAGGTACTCTACAACAACTCCGTGGCTATCATGTCTTGCCACTTTGCGCTCATCCAGGCCTCGGGACTGTCGAACAGAAGTTGGTATCGGCAATTCTTTATCACATTTTCTTTCTCGGGTCACAGCTGAGCGGCAGTTATTCCAAGGTTGACCGCCTCCTGTACCTGGTCCTCCATTAGGGCGATTAATGGCGAGACAACAATAACGACTGGGGTCTCGCGAAGTTTAACGCTAAAAGCTGCTCTTTTTTCAAAATAAACTTGCATTCTAAACTACTTTAAACAATATCTAAGGCTGCATCAAAAGGTAGCTTTGCGTCTGCTACCATGTTGAATCCATAGATATAAACAAACTGCGTCGGTGTGAGGGATAGATGTCGTCATCGTCTTGCTGCTCCCTCCCCGTTCTGTGATTGGTTCCCTAAATGAGGTGAAAAATCTGGGCATGGTATCCAGACTGCCTTTCAGCGTGAATTGAATCGCGCTGCGGTAAGGCAGTATGGGGAAACCCAGACAAACAATTTGCAAGAGCTCACCAAAATTGGACAGATGAAGACTGGAAAAATGTTGCCTGTTCTGATGAGTCTCTGTTGAGACATTCAGATGGTAGAGTCAGAATTTGGCGTAAACAGAATGAGAACATGGATCCATCATGCCTTATTACCATTGTTGAGGCTGATGGTGGTGGTGTCATGGTGTGGTGGATGTTTTCTTGGCACACTTTTGGCAACTTAGTGCCAATTGGGCATCATTTAAATGCCACGGCCTACCTGAGCATTGTTTCTGATCATGTCCATCCCTTTATGACTACCATCCTCTGATTGCTACTTCCAGCAGGATAATGCACCATGTCACAAAGCTCGAATCATTTAAAATTGGTTTCTTGAACATGACAATGAGTTCACTGTACTAAAATGGCCCCCACAGTCACGAGATCTCAACCCAATAGAGCAGTGATCTCAAACTCAATTCCTGGAGGGCAACAGCTCTGCACATTTTAGCTCCAACCAGCTCCAACTCACACCTGTAAGGAAGTTTCTAGTAATCCTGAAGACCTTGATTAGCTCAATGGATGCATTTCTCAGATGTGTTTGATTAGGGTTGGAGCAAAACTGTGCAGAGCTGTCACCCTCCAGGAATTGAGTTTGAGATCACTGCAATAGAGCATCTTTGGGATGTGGTGGGACTGGAGCTTCGTGCCCTGGATGTACATCCCACAAATCTCCATCAACTGCAAGATGCTATCCTATCAATATGGGCCAACATTTCTAAAGAATGCTTTCAGCACCTTGCTGAATCAGTGCCACGTATAATTAAGGCAGTTCTGAAGGCGAAAGGGGGTCTAACACAGTATTAGTATAGTGTTCCTAATAATCCTTTAGGTGAGTGTATTTAAACATACATATGAAACTAAATGTGTTTTCTTTAATGGCTACAACATGAACTAGGCCTACTAACAGTAATGAAAAATTTTATGTAAACTTGAGCGAACGTTAGCATATGGGGGAGATGTGTGATTTTCGAATAATTCCCAGGAATCACTTTTTATTTGGATGATGCTGGTGCTATTTGTTCCCCTCTTCTGATCAGTATTAACATGTTGAGTTAGAACATGCGTTATAATTTCTTATTATAATGCTCAGGTCACATATCACCATTATTGAAAAAAATTAAATTGTGATATATTGATATCGAATTATTGTCCAGCCCTGTCATATTAAATAAAGGAGGAAAAAAAAAACTGTTTTTCTTTTTTCTTTTGTCTTAGTTGATCACATGCCTGATTAAAATGGCAGATTTTTTTTGTCATGATTGTTTATAGATTTTATTTTGATAATTGCATTGATAAAACTTAATGGTTTTGATAATTGCATTTTTTGTTTGCGTGACTAATTTTGTGTCCTCTATAATCGCCTGACTGTAATAATGTGTTTCCACCACAGGGAGGCAGCACGGGAGTGTCGCAGGAAAAAGAAAGAGTATGTTAAATGTCTGGAAAACAGAGTGGCCGTGTTGGAAAATCAGAACAAAACGCTCATCGAGGAGCTCAAAGCGCTTAAGGACCTTTACTGTCACAAATCTGAATAATTGTCCTCACGCATACGTGCTGAACGGATCTCTTCTGGTGCCTCTAGAGACAGAGACTCTGAACATACCACAGGCACCTGCACAGCATCTGTCTTTTTTCATTTTTTTATTTCTTTTTTTTAAATATTATCTTCTGTAAAAATCCAGTTATCAGTAATACATTGTAAGTTTGTACGTGTAAACTTTTTATTTCCCTTTTCTCTTCAGAAGAAAGAGAGTCAGGTTTTTGGAGACAAGAAAAAACGACATGCAGGGTGCAGTTTCGTTATCAACATGTTGCCCTACTTAAGGAGCGTTGTGAACCATAAAGAGCACCTTTCTGCAGCTGTGACAGGGAATGAATGTTTGTGTGGGTTTATCATGGAAACAGCTCAGGGTGCTGCTTCTGAGACCCGCTCCTGTCACTCTGAGGTTCCTATTTGAAAGACTTTCCCACAATGCACCAGTCCTTGATGGCACTGCTTGTGAGCATGATTAAAGAGGGATGGAGTTTTTCACTATTGCAGCATGGGTCTTTAATGATTGAGATTAAATCAGCTGTGCCCTCTCCTGTTGTTTAACTGCTTCCGTTACTAATACATAAGCATATATATATATATATATATATATATATATATATATATATATATATATATATAGTGTGCCCATCTGTTATTACTTGGATTGATAATGTCATCTACTTTTTTTAAGCAGTGTTCTTTTGTTACTAAATTAAGGAGAATCTCATTCGCATTTGTTAATAGAAAATAGCAAATCATTTGAAACCTGTAATAATAACATTTGAAAAACTGTAAACTAAATGAAATATACTACATGATTTTCAGTGAGCATTTGATGGCCAATAATCAGAAAATCGTTTTTTAAAGTTGTAAGTGTGCTTATATTGTAATATATTGGATTTCTTCATCTATGCTAGACTTTACAGGTTATTCTAGTGCCATCTACACTGATCAGAGGCTAATTGTGTTGATTCCCTTATATTTTGGGCAAAGATTTTGATATATAATAACTGATCTCTGATCAGTGGATTTTTTTTTTTCATGTTCCACATTGCAATGAAATGCTGTTGTTTTTCTCTTGTCTTTTGCATAACATGTACCTATCCAACAACAGAACATGCATGTTATTTTAAGTCTTCTTTTTTTTGGGTTAAACATTTCTGATTTTATTTTTACTTTTATTTTTGTATTATGTATTGTATTTTTAAGATATGTTGCTTATGTGTAACCTAAATCAGTTATAAAGCATTCTGGTGCAGTCTTTCATCAACAATTATATATTTGGCAGCTGTTCATAATCTAATGTTTTGAGGTAGTTTTTTTTTTTTCCCCCCAAAGTTTATCTGTATTGTTTGAGAAGATTTAATATTGTTTGATCTTCATTTTAGTCCAGTTGCTCAGACCAGCAAAGTTCAGTTCAAACCTAGTTCACGCCTATCTGTAATTATTGGTTAATATTTGGAGCCCAGAAATGGAAATAATTTCTGCAGAAAGTTCTGATGCAACTTTTAAGCTGCAAAATGGGTTGTGTTTGGAATATTCTAACTCAATACTACTGTTTTATCAGTATAATATCATTCAGTACTTGGAAGTTGGTACAATTTTTTTCACACACAAAAAAAGCTTTTATTCAGGAAGGAATTTATCAAACATGAGTAAAGACTACAACATATTTCGAATTCAAATAAATGTTCTTTTTGGCATTTATTCATCAAAGAATCTTGGAAAAAATGTATCATGGTTTCCACAAACATTTTGAGCAGCACATCAACATCGAAAATAAGGCAACACTTTACAATAAGGTTTCATTTGTTAACATTAGTAAATTACATGAGTTAACAAAACAATAATAATTCTAAGGCATTTATGAACCTCAATATTAATCTCAACATTTACTAATACTATCAGAAGTGCTATCTGTTAACATTAGCTAATGCACTGAACTAGCCTGAATATTTTTGTTAATATTAACAAAAGTTAATAAATTATGTAAAAAATATATTTATCATTGTTATGTTTGTTAATGCAGCTTATGTTAACAAATGAGACCCTATTGTAAAGTGTTGTTGAAAATAATGAGATGAGTTGAAGTGAGAAGTAATGGCTGCTGGAAATTCAGCTTTATACAATCACAGGAGTTATATATATATAATATATGTTAAACATATATATAATATTTTAAACTATATATATATATATATATATATGTATGTTAAACTTTAATTATATATATATATATATATATATATATATATATATATAGTAGGATAATATTTCTCTGACTGTTTTTAAATACAGTTGTGGTGAGCACAAGATATTTCTTTCAAAAACATTTATAAATCTTATGACCCTAAACTTTTTAGGGTATATTGTGTTCAGTATGCACATATTCTATAATACCTGGGTGGCCTATAATTGCTTCTAACTAATAAGACAGTTTTACACAAAATTGGGTCACACTTTACATTAGGTGTCTTTAACTAATGTATTGTCCTTAAACGCATGCTTTGGGTCTTTAGTGACCCGGGGTGTCGTTCACTATTCTCCTTCTCATTATTAGGCTATTATTTTTTTGTTTTAGACATCAAACGTAATATTCCTCAATTCATTATAAACAATCACAAGAATTTTATTTTATTTTTTTAATAAAAAAAATGCCTGTTTTTCCATTCATATTTTGTAAAAATTGTAAAGGGTCGCTATAAGGACCTGAGGTGTGTAAGTTTTCTGCACAACAATAATTGAATCTTTGTTGACTGACTAAGTGCAATTCACCTTTATTCCCCAAGGTGCCAATGTCTGATATATGTGAAGTGACGTTTCACAGTTACTGCAGGCAGAAAACAAAAGAAGGAAGTATCATCAGCAAACCTTGAAATGGCTCAGCGATTTACTGCAGAGCAAGTACTGAACACAATCAAATTTTAATGTCACTGTCACTTGATGGTGGATCTGGTGAAGAAGCTGTCAGCGATCAAAAAAAAAAAAAAATGTAATTATGGGTTTGACCATCTGACTCAAAACATGCTTTATTTTATTGTTCTGTAATTGTTACAAGAGGATAGATTTATATCAGGGGTGATTTATATTATCACGAAATTTAGAGATCCATCTGTGCCAGATTTCAGGGTCGATAAAGACCTGCATATCTATTAATGATTGGCAAAACATTCATGCATTAAAGGGTTAAATCAACAAAGTATAATTGTTATTGCATTTATGTTCGATTGCAAAACACATCTGCTGCTGAGGTGGAATACGGGTAATGTTCTGGACAGGTTTGTAAGGTTTAGATTAAGGGTGGTTTAATTTGTAAGGGAAGAATCAATAGTAATTATTACAATGCATTTTTTAAGGAAAACAAATGGATTGAAATGCTATGGAAAAGCACATGCAGCACTATATATGCCATTTAACAGTTTGTAAAATATATGCTAGATTCAACACAGTCTCATGAAGATGCGTATCTATACCACGAGTGTCATTTCTCGTGGAATTTATACGCCAAAAGTGTTTTTTTCGTTTATATGGTACGCACTAAAAAACCCTGGGTTAGGTTTAGGGGGGAGGGGGGTGGGGAGTTCGTGCATATTATACGCAAAAAAGTGCGTATCATATGTACGCGAAAATCGCGTGCCATATACACGCAAAAACTGTTTTTGGCGTATAAATGCCACGAGAAATGACATTCGTGCCATAGATTTTATAACAATCTCACAATGCATTTTTTAGGCTGTTTATCATTCAGATGAATGGATTGAAAGAGTGAGATACCTTGGAATTATAAACGTTACAGCCATTCAATCAACTAAAAATTGAAAAAAATGAAGAAATAAACAGAGACATGTAAATTGTCAGTGATGGCTGAACTTGTGCCTAATATAAAGTTTGTTTTAAGAGACATGGAAATCTGGAACACCAGATTGCTTTGTTTTGTTTTGTTTTTTTTCTTTCTGTTCTCTTTTTTTCTGCAGCAGAGCTCCCTGATTGCTTGTATTCTGTTTCTCAGAGGGTTTCACCTTCACGGTCAGTGATCAAGGTCTCCAGCAGTCTTTGATAATGGCCACAGGCAAACTTATTCATAAAAGTCATTAGGGTATTAAATGGTGCTAAACAAGTACCCCATTGTCTATGAATCTGTGGGTTTTGATAAAGCAGAAAGAGAGGCTTAGATTAGAATGTTCATTGTTTGATGATTATAGACTCCAGTTATTAGCACTGATTTCATTTTTTGCAATATCTTAAATTATTAAAAAAGATAATTTGTGTTAAGGGTTAATTAAATATTTTTTTGTGCAGTCTAGCATTTAATAGTCTTATCTAGTCATTCATCTGTTGAGAGTTTTTTTTTATTCTTTGCTTTGAAAGAAAATATATTAGTTTTTATCGAATTCCGAAGAGGGTAAATATGTATTTGAATATCCTTATTTCACTTGCTCTGTCTGACAGGTCTTCTAGCATGTCCTCTCATCAAATGTTTTTTTGTTGTTTTGTTTTTTTCTCAAAATGTCTGTGGGTTTGTTCAAACTTTTTAAAAAGTTCCTCTGTAAATGTAGTAAGCGGCAAGCTACATCTGCCCGTTCTGTCTTGTACGTGAACAAATTGTAGCAAACATTTCAAACCCATTTTCTTAAAAACAAAAACGAAAATATTTTTAATGAAACCTAAAAATATAGAGATATTTCTGTCCCTCCATTGAAGATCCGTTCTACCAAGACTTGCTTCAAAAAGAGACACAAATTGCAATATGACGAACAGAATTAATTCAGGCTTTTTATTCGCATATAAACATTGATGAATGCACAAACATAGAGCTTATCAAATATGGTCCACAGGTGTTCAAACACTCAATTTATATGCATAACTTTGATGATATCTGGATGAACTTTGTGCAACAGTGAAAATTATGGTGGATTTTCAATGGTGGTACAGAAAACGGATGTAACCCTTGTTCCCTGAGTAGGCTGTGGATGGCTGTGGACATCACCAGACCCAGAGAGCGTGTGGTCACCTTTGTCGCCCGGAGGGCTAGGTCGGTGGTGGCGCGCAGCTCATCGAAGAGCCCTGGGTCTGTCCTGCCCTTGTACATGTCCTTGAGTATCTGGGCCTGGTAGACCTGAAGAATAGCCATGGCATGCAGGGAAGTGGCTGCCTGGCCCGCAGCTCTGTAGGATTTCGCCACAAGCGTAAACAAGAACCTACAGGCTTTGGACGGGTGCTTAGGCTCACCACGCGAAGAAGCACTCTGCTGACACAGTTGCTTTGCAAGCAACAGAGCGTTCAACCGGGGCGAGCCCAGTGTACCCATGGACAGCAGCTTCGTTGAGGGGAGGAAAGGCGGATGAGATCAGCGAGCGGTCATGGGAAGATATGGGGGTCTTCCAGGACTTCGAGATCTCATCATATCTGGAAAGAATGGTATTGGGCGTGAACCGGCCGCCGTGCCCAAAAACCAATCATCCAGCCGCGAGCGCTCCGGACAAGGCAGCAGAGACCACTCTATCCCGATGCACGTGGCTGCCCGGCAATGCATGGCAGTCATATTGGGGTTAGACTCGACGAACGACTGCACACCCGAAGGAGGTAGCGCCGCCGAATCCTCGCTCGACGATTTCTGCCTGCCTTGTGATGCCGCGACAGACTTCGATCCATCCTCTGCAGCGCCATAGGAAACCCGGGGAACAACCCGCGAGTGCCCCGTGAGCGCTGACTGGCATCGTCACAGGAGGGGTAGGTGCAGAGCATGTTTAGTCGGTGCTTTGTTCCACACCGTCACTCTCGGGTCACCCTGGCCACCAGCCGAAGTACTAGCTCCAGTGATGGAGGCAGTAGATCGGGGTGTGGATGAGGGGACTCTCACTCTTGCAAGATCATTGAGTCTCGACCGCAGTGACGAGATGGTCATGTTCCCACAGAGAGAACATGAGTCATTCGCGAGCGCTGCTCTAGCGTGATCAATGCCCAAACACACTAGACAGCGGTCGTGACCATCAGAGTCAGAGACGAGTCTGCCACATCCAGAAGTGCACTGGCGAGGCATCTTTAAAAAGACAAGCTCTTTTGTGCGAAATCTCTGTGCTGAAGTGCCCGGGGAGAAACACACTGGCAGATCACTGATCAGATCAGCAGGAAGCACGAACACGCCGGGAAATCGCTGTCACACCAACACGAGAATCTCAAGAAGCTGACGATCTCTTGGAGATTTGCTTAGGGAACGAAGAGTGAACTTGGCTCCTTACTGCCAGCCCAGCGTCCTCCTTAAATACCCACGAGGTGAGGCGGAGTTACGCTATGCAAAATCCGCAGACCCATGCCATTTCTTTGCCATTGGCTCATTTTATATTGATTGAAGCTGATAGGCTTTCTATCCGACGGAACTTGGAGTGACAACGAAAGGGAACTCAGAAATCTCTCAAGGTTTAAAGATGATCGAAAGTCTTGAGTCACCCTGCTAGCTTAAAAAAAAAAGATGGCTGACACTATGTGTTCATTCTGTGAGTGAGATCCGACCTTCTATGGGTGGGTTGAAAACATGCGGAACAGCCGCTACTACTGGCTATAGTCTTTAGTCTTAATGACGATTTTTGCGTCATCTGAGGATTTTTTTCCAGACAAAAAAATACATAAATGTGTCGTCTCAGGGGGATATGAGAGTGGAAAGCAGTTAATTTGAAAATAGGCTACTACAGGTTTTCTACTAATA